CAAACTTCAATTGAAAAATGGCACATAATACTTGGACATGCTTCATTGGGGGCACTTAAACAAATAGACTTCTTGAAAAATCACTGCACTACTGAAGGTGAGCAACTCTTAAAGGAATGTGAAATCTGTTTTAAGGCAAAGCAACATAGGTCTTCTTTTCCCACCAGCAGTATTAAGTCAACTGAGTGCTTTGATCTTCTACATGTGGACATCTGGGGGCCATGCAGAGAAACCTCTATAACAAATACCCCTTACTTCCTCACAATAGTAGATGATTTCAGCCGAGCTGTATGAATTCTCCTCTTGAGGTCCAAAGGGGAAGTAGCAGTTCAATTAAGAAACTTTATTGTTATGATAGAAACTCAATTTGACAAGAAAGTGAAACAGGTCAGAAGTGACAATGGGCTGGAATTCATTGGGGTTCAATGCCAAAGACTGTTTGAAGACAAAGGAATCTTACATCAAAAATCTTGTGTCTATACACCACAACAAAATGTTGTTGTGGAAAGGAAACATAAACACATTCTTGAGGTGGCAAGAGGTTTAATGTTTTAGTCTAAATTGGACATGAAATACTGGCCTTACTCAGTGCTTACAGCAGCTCACATAATCAATAGGCTACCAAGTGCAGTGCTCAACTGGGAAACTCCTTTTGAAAGGGTATACAAAGAAAAACCAGATTATTCTAAGCTCCGGCCTTTTGGTTGTCTAGCCTATGCAGCAAATACCAATCTTGCCAAAGGTAAACTAGATCCCAGATCACATAAAAGTACATTTCTTGGGTATGCAAAGGTTACATACTGCTTGATATTGAGGATGACCGGATATTTGTTTCAAGGGATGTTGTGTTTATTTATTAAATTTTTCCTGGAAGAAGAAGGAATCAACACAAGACTTACCAATACCAATTGTTGGAGATCTACACAATACCACATCACAAAATGAACATAGTGACAATCACAGCAATCAAGAGACAATCACAGTGCAAGATGGCAGGAGAGCCTGAAGACAACCAACTTAGATGAGAGACTATTTATGTCACTCAAGTGCAGAACATGCAGAAGCCTTTTTAGCAAACATTGCTGTTGGACAGGAACCCACACATTATGAACAAGCAGTCAAGGATCAACAGTGGGTCAAGGCTATGGAATTAGAGCTGCAAGCTTTAGAAGACAACAATACCTGGGAGCTATCTTCATTACCACTTGGAAAAAAGGCAATTGGGTCAAAGTGGGTCTATAAAATTAAAAGGAAAGCAGATGGGACAGTGGATAGATACAAAGCAAGACTAGTAGCAAAGGGTTTCACACAGGTGGCAAGTGTTGATTACTTTGATGTATTTTCTCCAGTGGCCAAGTTAGTCACTGTCAGAATGTTTATTGTTATGGCTGCAATCAGAGGTTGGCCCATAATGCAGTTGGATGTCAACAATGCTTTCCTCCATGGGATATTTACTGAAGAAGTTTATATGAAACCACCTCTAGGGTATACAAAAGGACAAAAGGGACAAGTGTGTAAGTTAGTCAAGAGCCTTTATGGTCTCAAGCAGGCGTCTAGGGAGTGGAATTGTGAACTCTCTAAAATATTAAAGGAATATGGACTCACCCAGTCACCTCAAGATCACTGTTTGTTTACACAGCACAAGGAAGGTCATTATCTTGCCATGCTGGTCTATGTAGATGATGCTCTTATAATGGGATCTGATTTGGCACAACTTACAGCCTTGAAGAACCATCTTCACCACCTTTTTACCATTAAAGACATGGGGCTTGCTCAATATTTCCTTGGAGTTGAAATCTCAAGAAGTGCAGCTGGAATCCATCTATGCCAAAGGAAGTACATTGTGGACTTACTTCAAGACATGGGATTGACTGACTGTAAAGCATCTCCCACTCCATTACCTCCAGACCTTAGATTGACTGGATTTGATGGACATCCCTTGGAGGAGCCTAGCAAATACAAGAGGCTCATAGGCAGACTTCTCTATTTGAATATGACAAGACCCGATGTGAGTTATGCAGTACAACAATTGAGTCAATTTGTTAACAACCCTTTCACTGAGCATTGGGATGCAGCCTTATATGTCCTCAAATACTTGAAAGGCACTACAAACCTTGGCATTTTCTTCAACTCCAAGTCAAATACAAAGTTAACTGCATTTTGTGATGCAGACTGGGCTACATGCAAAGATACTCATAGATCTATCACTGGCTACTGTGTTCATAGGCGACAGCCTTATCTCTTGGAAAAGCAAGAAACAAGTGACTGTTGCCCGGTCATCGACTAAAGCCGAGTACAGGTCTATGGGAACAATCGTTTGTGAGCTCCAATGGATTTATTCTCTGCTCAAAGATTTTGATGTGATTTCTTCCTTACCAATCAATCTCTGGTGTGACAATAATGTAGCTATGCATATAGCAGTCAACCCCGTCTTTCATGAATGCACCAAGCATTTGGAGATCAATTGCCATATAGTTCGAGAAAAGTACAAAGCTGGTTTTATTCTTCCTACTTATGTTCATTCCTCGGCTCAGCTTGCAGATTTTTTCACCAAACTCTTGCCTTCGGCCGCTTTTCAGCGTCTACTGTTCAAGTTGGGTGTTTGTCAAATCCATCACACTCCAACTTGAGGAGGGGGTGTAGAAATAAGGAGTTACATTTGACCTTCTGCATATTATAAGTGTTGTTTTTAGTCTAATATGCAGTTATAACTGCTCTAATAGTGCTTAGAATAAATCGCGTATGACTTACATAAACGTGTTGCGTTTTCGACTTGATACGGCGTCGTTTAGTTCCTAGCCTAGTAATGCTGTAATACGCCGTCGTTTCTTCATGTGCATGAGAACTATAAATGCGGTCATGCATGTACTACTTTCAGGTGTGATGAAATAAAATTTGTTCCCAATCTCTCTCTTCGATCTTCGATATTCTACATTATGTTTTTCAATTTTTAGCCTTAAATTTGAAGCCCAAAAAGAAAAGAAAACAAAAATTGAAGCCCAAACACAATAAAATAAATAATGCTGCAGTGAGTTGTATCTTGATAAAATGTAGGCACCAACGTTCATGGAATATAATATATATTTTCTAGGATAAGATAAATGATTCAATTATTAATCAAGATTAAGGAATGAATAGAACATTAAACAGTAAATAGTGCAGAAAAAATATAATGGCTACAAAAACTAGCTTGTAGTTAGCATTCGTTAAAAAAAAAAAAAAAAAAAAAAAAAAAAAAAAAAAAAATCTGTCATTCTTTTAGGCGTGGCATGTAAATAAACCTAAATTTTGAATGACATGAACAAAACTATGTAAACTTAATAAAATTCACAGTTGCAGTACTCGGTCTATTTTTATTTGCATTATAGAATATATTTTTTGGACTAGGTCAATTTTCTTAAGTGGCATATATTTTGTTGATATTAAACTCAAAGCATTGTGGATGCTCTTAATTAGTTGAACAATATCGTCTCAGCTAAATTATTACTGTAGGATTTATAAAGTAAATTATTACGGTAGGATTTACTTGGCGCGACGTCAAAAAACTTCTTCTCAATCAAAAAATATAATTTAATATGCTGATAGGCTAGGTTATAAAAATGCACACTTATACAATGAAAAAATGTGTTAATATATTTATTTGTATTATATTATAATGTAATGAATTCAAATATAAAATTATGTGTATATTTATATATATGCACACATTGAAAATGTATTAGTTCCTTCTCAATCATAGTATCATTAAATTACAAAGGAAAAAAGAAAGACTCTACTTAGACCAACTCCAATGCAGCGCTGGATGGCCATATTTAGCTGAAGTTGTGCAAATAATCTACCCCAATGTTGTGCTATTTCTTTGCTCCATAAATACTTTTTTGTATAATATGTATTAGCAAATATATTTTTATGCTGAATAACAATGTGTAATGTAATTTTATGCTAAATAATTTTGTACTTTTTATTTATTGTGTTATAATTTTATTTTGCAATTTTTTTAATATTAAAATTGTACCATATGAATAAAAATTAACACAATTAAACAAGTAGATTTTATTAAAATCAAAAGTTCACAACAGTCGTAAAATTTAAAAAATACACAAATAAAATAAATAAAATATATTTTTATTATTTTTTGTAATAAATATTTATATAAGATTAAATAAAATCTACGCTATAGTAGATAAATAAATAGAGATAAGGACCGAAGATGATTTAAGTTGTCCACTCCAAATTTTTTGTACCGTCATGTCAGCTGAATCATATCTACGTCTTTTAATTGCATTATTGTGAAACACATTTTTGATCTATTTTCTATGTGCAAACATTTTTTCCAAACAAACTCAAAACATAAAAGTAGAGTAATGTTCACCTACCGTGGATGTGACATGCCACATTGATGATGTGAATATATTCAAAAAATACATTACCAATATGTACATGTCACATCCACGGTGCGCATATTAACATGTGCCCATTGTGAGTAGGTGAGCATTACTTCATAATTTTGTAAATTTCATAAGAGTAAGTGAATTTCATAATTGATGTGCACACATTTTGTAAATGAATAATAATAATATAAAACATTATTATTTTTTATTTTTTTTGGTACAATAATATGAAACATTATTAATTATAAAAATAGAAGTTCTGTACAATTAAAATTATAAATTGTCATCTCGCAAGCTACACTAAAATCCTTCCCATGTGATGAGCTTAAAAAATAAAATAGAACCAAAAAAATAACCTTTTCTAATTATCAGCCCTATTAAATTAATTAATTAGTAGCAATGTGTCTCAAACAAATTATCAATCTCTCTGTCACCATTAATTTACAACCAAATTGAGAGAGAGAGAGAGAGAGAGAGATATGTGAACCTACAAAATTAGCATTCTCGACAAATTTGACTCTATCCGTGTATAGTGCCTTCGACACACAATCACAGAGCCCCCAGATCTAACGGTTGAGATCAACCCGGCATTCTCTCTCAAAATCCCGATCAGCTTTTATCATCCGCCGTACGCTCCCACCCGCCGAACCCAAACACCATCATCACGACGTCGTTGAGGCACCCGAGCAGCCTGCAGCACTTCCCGGCGAAGCCCCTCCACCATCGCTCGCTGCCGCAGCGCTCCACCGCCATCGGCTGCAGGTACGCCCACGCCGCGTGCTGTAGCAGTGGATCCTTGATGTGGATCTCGCGCCAGCTTTCCGCGCGGCTGATCGCCGCAGTCGGTGCCGCCAGCGGCGGCGAATCCGGCAGCAGGTCTTTCAGACTGGTGTAGCTGTTGTCCTCCCAGAGGTCGATCATCGGTCGATTTTTTTACGATCGATCGGGCAATTGGCGGGGTTTTCAGATAGAGGCGTGTGTGGCGGTGAGTAGGATTCAAGGGCGAGTAGTTATTGTTGTTGTTATTGATAGTTGAGGATTTGTTCTCCATAGCTTGAAATCTGTTTTCTCCGATTTTGTTTCCTGAAGAGATTTTTTTTGTTTTTTTTTTTAATTATTTTTGGCCTTTATTTTCGTTGTTATCAAACAGTATGAAGTGTGGGTTGTGTTACGTGTGTGTGTGCATGTATTGGCTGAAATCTGAACGGTGGTGGTTTAATGACACGTGGCAGAGGATGGCTTTGGCATTTGTTTGAAATTTTACGTTAGACTGTTAGACATTTACCGAGTAACGTTTCACTCCGACTCAGGGGCGGAGCCACCCATGGGCTAGGTGGGCTCCAGCCCCAGGTCAAAAAAAAAAAAAAAAAAGAATAGTAGTTTTACCTTTAAAAATATTACATATCTAGTCCCATCTAATTTTTTTCCTAAGCCCCATTTAATTTTGGGTTGTGTAAGTTGAAATGAAGTTCATAGAAAATTACAGAATCAGTTTTGGAGCTTCTGCTCATTAATGGCGGATGTTCCTGTTTTTGGATGAGGTTGAAGATGATAACTAGATGATCAAGTTTGAAATGACACTTCTACCCTCATTTAAATATTAAATAGATAGCTTATTGGGCCTCAAATGGCTTTTCAATCTATTTTAATGAGCTTTCAAACTTATGTTCGGTAAATTTTTTGTTCATTATAACTTTATGTGAAATCATATTTCATGAAACCTAATTAATAAACTTCAAGTTGTATGGAAAGAGAAATCAAATCATCAATATCTTTTCCCTCTCTCTCATAACTAGTATGTACCCCGTGCGATGCACGGAACATAGATATTAAATGAGTTATTTTAACAGCCTTGTCCGTTTAAATCTTAAAAGTAATAGTGTTATTATCTATTTTCTATCTCTTTTAATCAACGTTAAGTCTAAAAAATAATAAGGTTATATGTTTTTTTTTCATATCTTTTAACCAGCATTGTTTTTTAGCCAGAACTTAAATATGAGTATATATTTCCTGCCGTTTCGACAAAAAAAAAAAGAGTATATTAGGGCTAGCTTGTAAAATAATTAATATATTATCTCACTAAAATATTTATACTAATAAAACTTTAATTTCAGTATATAAATTTATCCCTTGATATAAGAAAAAAGTAACAGTTTTATTTATTCTTGTTCATCATATAATATTTAATTATTATTGTATTATATAATAAAAAATAAAGTGTTAAATAGTTTTTTTTAACACAAAGATAATATTAAAAAAATATAAATATCCATACAAATATACGAACCAAGTTTTTTTAAAAGTTTTTTCTAAGTTTTATAAAAATATATTATAATTTGTTAATGTATTATTCAAAATCGTAATATTGATTTGTAGTTTTTAGAAACAGAATTTTGATTGTTTTTGCTCACCCCATTTTATGGGATTTTTTTATGTGAAGATAAGAAGGATTAAAAATAATATGTAAAATAGGAAACTTGATTAAAATTATAAATGCATTAATTACTACTTGATAAAATTAGAAGTTCATTAATTAAAGTTGACTTTTTTACCTACTATATTTAGTAAATAGGTTTCCTTTTAATATAAGTATAGATTACAAAAATTGTGCAAATTACTCATTTTATTTAAGGCATTTTTTTTTAACGTAAACTATAAAGCAACTAGATAGAAACCATTCAAGTAACATTCTACGGAAATAAATAAATAAATTACATTACATCCTATTATTTTTTTTTTCTTTTGTATTAAAAATATATATATATACATATATATATATCAAACTACAACTAAACGGGCACGAAAATCACTGTAAAATGCATGTAAAAATAGCGCATGTCACCGACTACGTAGACCGGACCCAAAACTCTTACCGCGTTGATTGTTAAATACTCTCAACTCGACTTGTTTTATAGGGAAAATCAGATAGATTTTCTTTTTTTTCCTGAGCTTGTGCAAATATACAAGTTAGTTTCACATGTCAAACAAAACTATGTAACGGGACAACTCGATTCAAATGGCCTCAGTACATTTTGCAGCCCCGGTTGAAAAAAAACTCTGGCTACGCCCCTGCTCCGACTAGTAATTGACCCATGTTGAGTTTGATTTAGCATGTGTGTGAAATTTATTAGAACTATAAAATTTTAAGAAAATGCTACGTTCTGGTTATTCAACGGTTAAAACACACGAGATGACATCGTAATGGGACTGTAGCAGTTCTCAAAAATTTATACTAATGTATTCTTTCTAATTATCATATATATTCTACTATAAGTCTATAAGAGTAATGAATGTATCTAAGTTTTCACCTAATGTGTTCATGAGCCTCAAGTCAAGATATTATTACTGTTTCAATGAAAACATAATCAAAGAAGATATATGTTATGACATGGTAAAGGCCAATTTGGATATCTATATACCAGAATTTGAAAAGATTATTAAGACAGAAATCTTGAAATTTTCCACATAATACATATTCACTACAAAAAAACATCTTACATTCACCGTTGGAATTCTTTATATATCCGTTGGAATAGGTATTCCAACGGATATTCCTACGTATAAAAATTCGTTGGAAAAACGGCCGTTGGAATAGCTAAAATCCAACGGAAAATCCTATGGAAATAAATTCCTACAGCTATTCCAACGGAAAAAATCCGTTGGAATTTCTCAACCATCCAACACTTTTTCCCACAAAAAATTAAGTTTGTTGGAATATTCATTGGAATTTCCAACGGAAATTTTTGCCGTTGGAATTGAAGTGTTTTCTTGTAGTGATTGTTATTATTTTATAAATATGACTCTTATAATTTTTTAAATCTAACACTATACATGCTTTTCTTCAACTATTTAATATTTTATTACTGCCAAGTACCATTACTCCCTCATTTTACATTTTCAAAATACTAATCTCTATTAATTTAATAAATCATTATGATTTTCGCAATTTTAATCTCTATTAAATTAATAAATCATTTTACATCAATATAGCTGATGAATTAACGATGTATTTATTTGCCAAATATATTCTCCATAAAACTTTTCCTAAATCATCACACTTATAAATATCTCTTTCCTAATAATGTTAAGAGAATAAAGAATTTATGATAATTTAAAATTGTTAGATTTTTTAAAAGATTATTATATTTATATAGATTCTAAACCAACAAGTAATTAAAAGAAAAGGACAGATTTAATCTAAAACGACATTTTGAATTTAAATTATTATTTCACGTAAACACAACTTATATTATTTTTCGGTGCACATACATAATGTGCTAGTAATCTATATAATCTGCAACAGAGAGAATGGTCTGAGTTCTGTGTGGTTAGAGCTTAGTAGTTTGTGTTTGGCTGTCCATTGCTAGGTCCTGGGCTCAGGTCAGTGGCATGGTGCTTGTGTCTGTTTCTTTTTCTTGTGTCTGTTATTATGTTCAGGTTGGTGTGAGTTTCGGTTTTGTGGTTTGTTTTGTTGTGTTTTGTGAATTGGGTGTTCTAGTAGTGTGTTGTTTAGCTTAGTTGGGTGCTTTAGGTATCATAACCGCGGTTATGCCTCTTGTGCTTATTGTGGTTGGGTCGAGGCCACCTTGAAGGTGTGGTTCTCCGTTTGTTTGTCCTTGTAAGAGCTAGTTAGCCCTCCGAATGTACTCTTTTCTATGATTATGAGATTTGTTATCGTTTGAACAAAAAAAAAAAAAAAATCTATATAATCTGCAACAGTTGCATTGCATACCTGAAGTTGCAATTCAGCTCTCACTTCCAATGGCAAATCTGTGTATAAAACTGTCTCGTTAAATATTTATACATATGGGTGCTAATTTCAAGAGCTCAACAACAGAAATATGACCATTCTGGAAAACATCATATACCTCTGCAATATAATTACTGCAAAAGTATTTCTATCCGTACAAACATGAAAGTGTGACGGCTTATAACAAAATATGAAGAACCATATGAATGTCATCGGCAAACTCAACACTTTCGATCACGTCTTATAACAAAAATATGAAGAACCCTATGAATGTCATCGGCAAACTCAACACTTTCGATCGAAGACTACTGCAATGTATACAGTTTTTTCCGAATAGCTACCTGTTGTCGAAAACGGGTGAAACCGTTAAAATGAACAGCCTTCATCTCAGGTGTCACTTCTGCCTCTGTGCAGCCTGTCGGCATAGAAAAGAAAACTTTTGAATGTTTCGAAGAAACTTGCAATACCAACCCAACACAAAAAGTAAAAAGATAACTTGATTTACGAGAACTGCCTAATACGCACACCCAAATATCATTAAAAAGGTAACAAAATCAAAAACACCAAACCCCTTATCGGTTAACATCAGTAGTAACATATATCAGGTTCCATACCTTTCTCATTTTCTCGAGAATCGAATCTTCACGTGCCTGATATCCAGCACCAACAAGATTGCTCAGTTTTGGGCCATCGGCCTCATTTTTCTCCACACTGAAAACGACTGGTGATGCGGCCGGTTGTAGAGGCAAAACTAACAGAGGATTCGAAAGGTTACCCAACACATTCCCAATAGCAGCAACCTGCCCAAGCAAAACTTCTCTTGAGAAAAAAGAACCAAAAAAAAAAAATTTAAATAAATAAGAATAAAAATAATAATAATTAAAAACAAAGAGTCAAATTAGGTCAAACTTACAGCACCGTCCTTGGACGCCATTACCACAAGAGCCGACCCTTTCTTTTTAGAGCTCTTGATGACCACATCTTCCACACCACCAAACTCCTCGAAAATCTCCCTAAGCCCCTGAGCCGTGTAGTCTTTTCCAACCTTCTCCCACGAGACTTTAAGAACCTTCTCCTTATCCAACGCCACACCCGCAACATCACCTCCTTCTTTTCCCTTTGGTCTGGAATCTCCCCCGAAAGGTTTTGCATCATCATTCGGCATAGTCTTCTTGTGCATTGCCCGAATTCTATTGATCTCATCCTTCAGCTTCCTGGCTATCATCTCCTCTTCCTCCCGAACTCTCACGGTGGGGTCCACGGCGAAAGCAGACCTCTCCCTTTCCTCGAGATCTGACATCATCTTCCGGCGCTTGGAATCTTGTTGCCCCTGACGGATGAGCTTTTCCCTTTTCACTCTGAGTAGGTCGTCGAACAATTTCCGGGCCTTTTCGTCCTTGAGGACTTCGTACGAGGTCTGGAGCTTAAGAAAATTGGCGTGCGCATTAGGGTCGTCACGCCTCTTGTCGGGATGCAGCTCGCGAGCCTTGGATCGATAGGCTTTGTTGATCTCTTGGTCGGTAAGATTGGCACCTTCCTCACCAGACGGCAAGCCCAGAACAGTATAATGGTCGACTTCAGCATCCATACTGGAATTTTATTGATTGAGTTTACCGATAGAAGTAGAAAATACCTGGATATACAGAGGGGAAAGGAAAGAAAAAATTTTAGACTTTATGAAGTAAATGAAATCGAAAGAGAAATCCAAGCATGTTTCGTATATGCAGGTGTTATGAGGGCTACTAGTTCGCATATTTACATTATGTTTTCATAGCCAATCACAGCAGCCACGGAAAGATTATCTTATTGCTATCAATAAACGTCGTGAGGTACTGATCTCCTTCAACACAATTTACCGCAGAGTTCCATGCTGATAAAGTGTACGTCTAGAAAGTAGGAAAAGAAAATGGCCGAAAAAAAATCATATTAAAAGCATACAACTTCAAAACCCAAACTTGAACACTAAAAAGGAGAAGGAGAAAAAACAAACAGGTAAGTCTTAGATACCTAACACCCATAATAACTCCAGTACCTATATTTGTGAGGTAAGTTTTTCGTTTGGAAATCTGTTTCTTCTTAACTTGAAATCGAATATTTCCTTGTCCAAGGTTAGACTTAACTACTGCACAGTTCTCACGTGCCAACTCGAGATATTTTAGTCTTATCGATCAGTCGTTCAAACTAATATACATTGTGCGAGCAAAATTGATCTATTAATATTAATGAAAGAGCTCAGAGGGATAGTGAGACGCTCCTCGAAGGCATTTTGTTTAATCATTGCTTCTGCATTTTATTTTGTGTTTAAACACGTGTAGCGTACTCTACAAACTCCCTCACAATGTTGCACTCTAATACCAATTGTGTTGTAATCTGCAACTATTGCTTTCCCATTTGTGTTGTAATCTGCAACTTTTGCTTTCTAAAGTCCATGATTTGACATCCGTATCCATGGAAAATTTTGAATGTTTCTGTTCATGGAGCCATCTTATTAGTTTACTTTTTCTAATCTTTTTGTCTATTTTCTTGTGGCATTTGGTGTTCTGTTTCTTTATAGTTCATCCACATGTTTTATGTTTATACACCTGATTTCTTTGCACATGTGAATAGCGTTGGTATCGGTTCGGATACCGAACCGCCATTTTTGGTAACAATAAACTAAGAAACCGAAACCGAACCGACTTGTAGATGGTAACCGAGTTCGGTTTCGGTTCGTACCCAAAAAAAATCGAATTAGCAAGCATGAATACATTGGGTCTACAACACTAGTCTGCAGCCCACTGGGCGCCAAGCCCCATTACAAATCTGTAATGAGACAACAGATAGCAGACTAAGCAGAGTGCCAGAGCAGAGACCACCAAGCCCGAGCATGATGCCCAAAATCCAACTTTGTTCTACATTCAAAATTCAGGCATAAAACGCGGAATACCAGCCCTAATTTTATTGTAGGCATACGAATTAACAAATTAAAGGCATAAGCATAAATATCAGCCCTAATTTTACAAGAAAGAGAATAAATGTTGCAGCATAAATACCAGCCGAGGATTGACAGAAGCGACTCCGACGAGTGACAGATTGGCCGCGGCTCCGACGAGTGATAGGAGCGGATGGAAAATCGCGGCTCCAGTTGACAGATTGCGAATTCCAGTACCCTACGGCCCCTACTTTCGAGCTCGGCTTTGTGAATGAACAATCTGAGGATTGAGAACTAAGATGTGAAATTTGTGAATCAGTGTGAACAAAAATTCAATCGTTACTCTCGTTGTTCTCTCAGATTGGTGTTGCTATTTGGGTTTAGTTGGATTCAACAATTTGGGGAATGTATATATTTTTCTTTAAACCTGAGTAACTTAGCCTAAATGCCTCTAATTTATATCTATATATATCTATATAAAAGGTTTGATTATTTTTTTTAAAAATTAACTATTTTCCTCTAAAAAAAATCTATTTACTATTTTAACAAATTAATTTAACAATTTATGGTATATTTAAAATAACTATTTATGAAATTCGCGGCTCATTATTTAACGAAATAATTAAGTCATATAAATATTCATTTTTACGATACCATAATTATTCAAATTAATTTAACAATTTATGGTATATTTCAAATAATTACTTATGGTAAACATATTTTTAAGATACCTTAATTACTCGAATTATGTGAATTAACTGATTTACCCAAATATGAGAATGTTGGCTGCAATATCAATTATGTGTTTTGGTTAAAAAAAATCCAACTAAATTACATAATTTATTTTTTAGTAAGTTTTTAATATTTTTCGTGTTATTCTTTTGTGAAATACATTTTTAATATACCTTAATTATGTAAATTGTGTAAATCCGATTGATTTATTCAATCTGTAAATAATTACTACAATTATGAATATATCGACAACAATGATTACTTATGCAGTTTGCTATAATATTATTTCATGGTTAAATTTCACAGTAATTAATTAAACATGAGTCTTGATTTTATTTTGTATGTTGGGCAATTAATTTCATGGTTAAACTGAACATTACTTTTAATATTTTATCGATAATGTATGAAATTGAATTATTTGGTATACTATATATTGATCCAATATATCTGTTTATGGTAATAAATTGTATCTCAATATTTTTTTTCATATTGCTAAGTATTTTACTCAATATCAATGAAAGAAAAATTTGGATAATATTATGGTCGATGATTCTTCTTTGTAAATATGCGTGGAACATATCAAATTATTTGGTGTGTGTCTGTGTGTGTGCGTGTGTGTGTGTATATATGTTTGTCTTTACTTAATTAAATCACATTGTAGTTAAATCAAATTTCTGAAGAAAATTTTTAAAATGACATCTATTTTTGAAATAAATATAATGTAACTTATTATCAGTTACTTGCACTGTACGGGTCGTGTACTAATTTTAAATAGCCATGTTTATGTAATTTTGCACAATTTAAATTTCATATAACATTTTCAACAAATTAATATAGGTAAATTATATTACATATATATTCCATATTTTCAATTTATAAATATTATTTAATGAATATTTATAATTTATAAATAGTAAAGAATATTTCTTACTCGTGCATCGCACGAGATTAGTACTAGTCTGTAAAGAAATACTCTATTATTTAACAACATACTAACTGGCTTTTCTTTTTCTAATAAATAATAAAATCTGAGTACTAAGATATATAAGTTAATATAAGTTATAATGTTATACAGTAAGTTATATTATTATTATTTCAGAATGATACCGAACCGATATCAGTTCAATAGCCGAATATCTGTTACAGTTACAAACAATTCGGTTAGATTCGGTTTAATTTCTCGTTGGGTTGGTTCGGTTCGTCTCAGTTCATTTTCGGTTTTTGGTTAAAAAAATAAAAATAAAAATAAAATACCAGCCCTACATGTAAACATGGTTGAACTCTAAAGTTGTTCTTCCTCACCTTCCGAAGCATATAGTCTGGGTTATAATTTGTAAATCTCGTTATTAATTATTAGTTGTTGTTATGTTTGATCTGAAAATTATTGTGTTACTCTAAGGGATGAATTGGTAAACTCATATTTTATTTTAAACTATTATCACGAGAAACAAACAAAAGAAGTAACTTTTACATAAATCTGATTTTATGAGTAGTCATTGACAACAATATCAACAAACGTAGATTCATTTTAATTCTCAAAGTGTAGTAACTAATAATGTCACCCAAAATAAAATAATCTTATCTTATCATAGAAAAAAAAAATAAAAAAATGAGCCTTGCACTATTGTGGTAATAAGCATGATTGGTATGCGGAAATGACATAGAAATGAAATGATCATTTCTTTGCTCATTCTTAATTCCTTGATTGGTACATTTTTTAGAAAGGAATGACCATTTCAATGGGAATCGCAAAACCCATGTACATGGGATTAGCCATTCATAGCTAATGGATAGTTTTCTCATTCCCATATGTTTAGAAATTGATTTTTCAAATATCCAATTTCCAAATAATAATAACAATTAAGTATATAATATATACTATATTATCATGAGTAAATTATATTACATAAAATCATTTTAAAAATAAATTTCAAATATAAAATAATAAAAATATTATTATTTAAAAGTCATATTTTAATTAAATATATTGAATACATATATAAAAATAAAATTCACAAAAAATATATTTATAAATAGTTTAGAAACATATTATTTTATTTTATATAACCATATATATTACATATTTATTCACAAATTGAATTATATTATAAAAAAATATGTTTGACCACATATGCTCATATGGGTTTATGTAATGAATATTTGTATTAGTTAATATGTATATAAATACATATTTCACTTATTATTATATAAGATGGGTGTAAAAATACAAAAGCATATTTATTAAAATACAGTATATTTTTAAATAAAAGAATAATAATAATATAAATATTAATTATTTACTATAAAATAATTATAAGTGATAATATAGGACGATAATGTCATTTCATTTCGTTCTTATTCTTTCTGCATACCAAAGACATCAATAACAAAACTCGTTTTATTCATTTTCCATAATCATTCCATTTTTCAACTCATTCCATTACGACCAAATTCCACTCAATTGTACTAATCATGCCATTAAAGTTTGCTTGTTTATCAATTATCCCAAAAAAAAAAAAATCTAATTTCAACTCAAAATCTAACATAATTTTAACTCAACTACATTATTCTCAATTTAATTATATGATACTAAATGATTATCATTAAACGTCACATCAACTTTAATTCAATATTCATCCACTCATATAATTTTAGCTAATATCACTTCCAATCATCTATCTTTTACTTTTACATCAAATTAATTTTAATTATTATTTATTACAAGCTTAAAATTCCACTAACAATCAGACACACCAACTTTTTCAAAATTAACCATGATGAAAAAAAAATCTCAATAAAATATCAATATATTTATAAACAAACACACCCTTAACTTTTTACCAAAACTTCATATATATTTTGTCTAATCATTTTGCCTAGGGTTTGAGTATTTATGAAATAATTTGTTCAAGATGAGTTATGTAGGTTAATCATAGTTAATTTTA